AGCCTAAATAAAATGTTTTTAATTGTCTACCAGTTTAACGTTGAATATTATTTATGATTTTTTCTCTCTACAGATGTTAGAGTGGATTTAGGTTTGGGCTTTGGCTTGGCCAGTCAAGGACTTTAATTTTGTTTCTCCGAAACCATTCTTGGGTTGCCTTTGATCTGTGTTTGGGATCATTGTCCTGTTTAAATGTAAACCTTCGAACAAGTTTTAGTTTTTCAGCTGACTTTTTCAGGTTTATCTCCAATATCTGTGTATATTTTTGTACTTTCGATGATCCCTTGAATGCATAGAAGTTCTCTAATGTCAGCTGTATAAAAATATCCCCACAGCATTATGGACCGACCAACGTGCTTGACAGTTGGGACTGTATTTGCTGGGTCATGAGTGTCTGGTTTCCGCCACACATATCATCTGTCATTTAACCAAAAAAGTCCTATTTTGGTCTCATCTGACCATAGAATTTTCTGCCACATTATTGTAGGGTTATTGAAATGTTTATGGGCATAGTCCATTGGTGATCTTTTTCTGCTTGTTCTAGTGCAGACTTTCTTAGGGTGATCTGATCTTGGCGAGGTTGAGGTAGTGTGACATATTTTTCATTTCTTCACAACCAATTTTACAGAACTTAAAAATCTTCTCCTTTAGGTCTGTAGAGAGTTCTTTTCTCATCATTCTCAATATGTAACAGTAAACCAAATTTTAACTTTCAAAATATATAATCTGCTTAAATCAATACTAATGGCTCTATATGACCTAAAGTATTTTTTCACATAGCTCTATAATATACTTTGGTATCTGATACAGTTGTACAGAGCCACTTGTATTAACTTTAGCAGAGTAGTGACATAAAGTTAAATCGACGATGGTAATAGCTGAGGGAGAGGGATGAAGACTTTTGAACATGTGTTTTCAAGATTTTTTGTGTTATATCACTAAATTGGGTAACAATGCACCTTTTGTTCTTTGTAATCTTTAGAAACTGGTCTGAGGTTAATATAATAAATATTTTTGAACATTTGAGTTACGTCTTTCACAAGAAAATACCTAAAATTTATTACCAGCACAGGAGGGTAAAGACTTTTGCAAGGCACTGTATGACTGACAGGACTCTTCCTCTTTAATAGTAAAGTAAATGCTACTGTGTTTAAAAACTAGTAGAAAGCACCAGAGTGTTAGATACTGCAATATCTAACCGGATCGGATATTTGTTCCATCATAATCCATAGAGTCTATGAAGTAACTTATTACGTAACAAAAGCAACTGGGAATTAACCCACTATATAGCATTTGTTATCAGCAAAATAAATAGGACAAAAGACATTTAAGACTACTCAGACTCTGGAGATAATTTACTATCTAGTAGTTTTTACCAAACAAAACAAGTCTTCAGGATTATACATAGACTGGATGTTAAGTTATCATCTAATAATTGTTACCAGACGAAACAGATCATCCAGTGTTATGCAAAGACTGAGAGTTAATCTATAATCTAGTAGCTGTTTCATAAAGAAACATGCAATTTAAGGCTACCCGAACTGTAATGTGATAACCTATCATTTTGTAGTTGTTCAGAACTACACAGAGATTATGAGATGACTTACCATCTAGTAGTTATCTCCAGAAGAAGAAGGACTTTCAGAACTACACAGAGATTATGAGATGACCTACCACCTAGTAGTTGTTCCCAGAAGAAGAAGGACTTTCAGAACTACACAGAGATTATGAGATGACCTACCACCTGGTAGTTGTTCCCAGAAGAAGAAGG